CTGGGACTCGACCTCACTTAAAAAACTGCGTGCCCCTTTTTAAACCGCTTTGGGAAAGAAGAAGGGCATGTTAACGGCCCCTTAGGCTCTTAGCCCGTCGTGCCTGTCCTCCCGCGGACTTGTACCTGGAGCTAGACGCAAGCGAGTAAGAGGTCCCCGATAGCCCGGGGAGTTACTGTGTGACAGATTTGACAGAGCGAGTTTATCCACCATGTTTGAGGCCTTTAGCTCTGCTATCATGCTGGGGCGGGGATCGTCGGCTGCTCTGTGCTGTGGGAGAGATTTGTCAAAGATGAAAAGTCTTCAAGCTACTATTGACCTCGGTTATCACAATGCCAATGTGTAATTTCTTTTGAAGGCACAAGGCGAAAGACCGCCTGAAATAACACATGGCCTACAAGGCTAGATCAATTCTCATGTAGACGTCATCACCAATAGTCCGGGTGTGATATACATCCATAGAGCTCTAAAGTTGAGGGATTCATCGGGGGGACGTCATGATTGATCAGATCACACGCCTCCTGAATACTCGAATACCCTGTGATAACTACATTTGCCGAAGCTTATTTTTCCCACAGACCATGGTCTTGGTACCCAGGAAGAGGGGAAATTCAGATCGTCCAACCACACAGGCTCATTTCCGATCTGTCTCAAACGATCAATAGGATTCGTGCCAATTGATGGCGGCTATACCTGTGGATACAAGAAAAAAACAATGATAGCCGGCTAGCAACCCTCTTTGGTCTACTCTCTTGTATGGTGGTTTTTAGCTTCTTTTTCTACGCCCTGCCGGTGCGCCCCATTCCAAGACAGCGGGCCCGTCCGGGATAGAACCATATTCAAATCAATGGATAGAGGATACTTGCTGCACTCCGTACTCCGTAGTACCGCCGAATTGGCCCTAGGATCGATTTAAAATAACCGATGATGCAGCTCGAGGTCCCCGAAGTCCCCGATCAATCGTACCTATCATTCATGCAGGAGTTAGCGCTACTACATCGAATACAATGGGCCCGTTTGTTCGCTAGGTGCCTGGAATGTACTGTATGTGTGCACGTAAGGTGGAGAGGTCTGGGTAACTATGCAGCAATTCGATTACCAACAGTCGAATACGACGCGCATACTCGCCATTGTGGATTAACCAGGAGCAGATCCTGAAAGGAGAGAAGAAGAGAATGCTTCGATGGACCTGTCATACTTCTACCGCATTTCCGATATAAGCGAGCTGGGTTGGGACCCAGAATCCGGACAGACCCTGCAGCTAAACGTGAGTCAGGTTTGTGAATGTTGGACGTTGATTGGGCTATGGGGATGTTGGAGGTTTGCTTTTTCCTATCTGATGCTATTGCGATACCAGCCTTGCCCATCGGATACGGACTGGGTTTTCTCTATGTATACATATGCGTCCGAGCAAAATATATGTATCACTATACAAGGATATAGTATATTCATAGGCCCTCGCCGACCACATAAGTTACCAGGTATGGCTTGGTTATCAAGCACATTGCTACTATGTATGCACCGTATGTGTTTACGGAGTAGGTGGTGAGTAAACATTACACTCAACACACATTACCAAATCAGGCCTGCGCTGCAGCACACCGATACAAAGGTAAGTGCTCCATTCCGGATCAGCGATTGCGTACGATCCCCATGTCGATCACAGCCCGGTCCGGTAAAAACAAAGTCAAAATATTTCAAATTGTGAGAGGGCACTAGATGGCCCTGCGCCAATCATGGTCCCCACACAAACGGTTCATGTCTGGGAGACTGGGTAACGGCCCACGGGGGGTGGAGAGATCAGAATAGGGTACGGAGCAGCGCGCAGAGGAGTTTCTGTGTGGGTGGAAGATACCTAGCTGGCTGGCTGAGCCGCTGAAGACTGGAGACTTGCCATCGATATTGTTTTTATTTTTATTTTATTTTATTTTTAATTCTCGCCCATCCATAAGGGAAATTGTAGCAACAGTCCATTACGGAGTACACCTATCATGCATAATGATATAGGGTCGATTCAATAGTTCAATCCCCCCTCCTTGGGGTATAGTACTCCGTACACCACATACAATTCATAGGAGGACAACAGGATCTATCATGGCCGACCACCGACCCAAACATGGATGCTGGCCGATGCTCCATCGTCAGTGGACCCCGATTCATGGTTTCCTGTTTGGAGAGTCTTTCTCGAGGCGCTTTCTCGCTGCCCTCGATCTCGGCACAGCTCCTCGACCACCCACACACCAGTAACCTGACACTAACCATGTTTTATCGGCGGGAGCCAGATCTTTTTCTTTTTCTTTTTTTCCCCCTTCCCTTTTTTCTTTTTCTTTTTCTTTTTTTTTTTTTTGCCCCTCCCCTCCCCTCCAGACTCCAACGCACGCCTGGTCGTTTCTTCCCCCTGCTTCCCCTTCTCTGCCCCCCCCCCCTTCCCACCATTTTTCATACTGAAATCCAAAATTCCGAAATTCAAGCCTGAGACCGCCCCAATCCAAGAATAACTCGAGTCACAGGAGTAACATCACAGTCAGGATCCGTATGCTGTCCACTTTGCCTTGTGTCTTTCCCATTTTACCTCCGCCAGACCGTTTCTGCCGCTCCCGTTTTCCTGTCAGGGCCTGAACTTAGACGAGCATGGACCAAATCACCTAGAACCAGTAACCCACTTTCCTACCCATCGGCTTGGTCGATGAATCGCTCCTCGCTCAGGAAAGCGGTAATTGGACGACGTGGGCGGTGATCGGATCTTGGTATTATCATTTCTTTTTTTTTTTTTTTCTTTTCTTTTCTTTTCCCTTGTTTGATCGGTAGCATGGAATTGCTCGCCCATGCTTTTTCTTTCCTTCCCCCCCCTTATGTTTTATTTTATTTTATTTTATTTTATTTTATTTTATTTTATTTTATTTTTTTCCCGTGTAGGCGTGCGTCAATCCCGTATATCGTTTAGTTTATTTTTCTCGCCCGACTGCTGCAACTAATGGTCAAGGCATGGCATTAATGTTTCTTTTCCTCTCGTTTAACCCCTGATCTCACCCCCACTAGCTGCACACAAACACGTACCGGTGGACTGGGACTCTGGGAGACGGCAAGATTGTCTCTGTCGAAGTAAAATAACAAATTCTAACTAGACTATAGGGGATATATGAAGATCCTCGCCCTACTCCGTAATCTAGAACTCGGAAGCGCTTGTAAATAATAAATATCGACAAAATGTTATATCCAGTAGTGTAGCTATATCCGATGTTGTGCATTACGTAGTATCACACTGTTAATCCACAAGGTAACACACCGTGGATTTCCCAAAGGGAATCGTTTCTGTTTCTTACACAATATATCGCTCTCCCCGAAGTATATGGCCAGGATCCTCGACGGAAGTCAATAAATAGAAACGAGATGTACATCCTGTGTTTCACACAACCAGCAATAGTACTGCTAACATCCCTGCTGCAACACCGATCCGGTGGTAGACTCAGTCACTATAATCATATAGTGGCAAATCTCCCCCACGATCTAAACGCCAGCTGCAACAATTGATAGCTAGCCTTCTTTTTCTTTTTAATTTATTATTTTTTTATTCTCTCTTTCCCTCTCTCCTTTTTTGCTTTTTTTCGAAGGAGGTCATGGGTGCCAGGTTGTGGTTGCTTCGAAATTATTCCCCTGTCAATGATGGATCTGACTTATTCCTTAAAGAGATACTGCATACTAGTACGTTAGCACCTTTTCCAAGTTCCCCACTTGTGTAATCATTACGATTCAGGTCGGTCGGGTGTGTCTGGTGGGTAATTTTGTTCTCCCTCGACAACAGAATGCACGGGATCAGAGACTGTAGGCAACCCTGTGCGGCTAAAGAGTAGGCGGTGATTGTGTCTAGGGATGGCTCTCAAGGGGCTACCTTACTCTGTAGGCAAACGGAAAGGTAGCACTGCCTGAATAGGTAGGTGACTAACATGGACGAGCATGCTGTCATAATTCCATACAAACATAGTGACAATACATTCATACATTCAATACTTTGGATACTTTACCGACATCGTTAAATACCAAAGCGTAATAAGACGGGGGCCCTCCACCCCTGCCAGGAAATAAAATAAAATAAAATAAGAGTTCAAAAAAATTTATTTTTTTCATTTTTAATTTTTAATTTTTTAATTTTGAATTTTGAATTCTTAATTATTATTATTATTTATTATTATTCCTCCGACAACTGTCAGCTCCGAGATCTTGGATCAGATCTTCTCCTATAGCGTGCTCTGGGTGTGGAGCAGTAGTCCATTTTTCTCTGACCCGTCTCCCTGGTCATTGTATTCTTCTGCTGCTGCTTGTTGCTATAATAATTGATCGTAGCCTTCATCTCCATCCCTTCTCTATGTTGCCTTGTCCTTCATCTTTATAAATCTCAAAGTCCTTGTCTTCCCTCCCCTCCTGGTTCAGATTTTTCCCACAGGTATAACTACCACTTGCGAGAACATCACCTTGGAACCTTAATCCTCAACCTCCCAACCTTACTTTCAAACCTCTCCCAAGTACCTGGCTGGATTGGTCACTGCTCCCTGACTACTCGAATCCTTTTGTTCTTCACACCACCCACACATACAATTCTTCGGACTTTGTGCGGTTCGAGTCTCTTGGGTCTACGCTAAACCCTCACGGTAAGAACCAACTTCCCTTTAAACCTACGTCAATCTTCCCCGCCCGCGTTCTGCCGTTGTGGTCGTTTGTAAGGCACACTCCGTGCCTGAGGTTTTATTGACTTCATTATTACTTTCCGTGCCGCCCATCTTGCCCTTACCTCATCCCGACTTCACTTACCCACCCACCCAACGCTTCCTCTTCCACTCTTCCACTCTTTCTTTTTCGTTTTCATTACTGCTTTTATCTTCCGTGCTTTGCATCTTTATTCTTCTGATCTCCATTTCTAACTTCATCGCTTAGAAATTTAAATCAAGAAAAAAAAAAAAAAAGAAGAATCTCCAAAGTTCTTCGAACTTCCATTTTTATTTGAAATGGCTCCCACTCACCGTCGAGGACCTTGGGTCCCTGAGGAGGACCAGTTGCTGCTTCAGTTGGTTCGCGAGCAGGGCCCCAATAACTGGGTCCGCATTTCCCAACACATGCACTATCGGTCTCCCAAGCAGTGCCGGGAGCGCTTCCACCAGAACCTCAAGCCATCGCTCAACCGGGAGCCCATCTCCGTTGAGGAGGGGATTATGATTGAGCGCCTCGTGAGTGACATGGGCAAGCGGTGGGCCGAAATTGCCCGACGACTGGGCAACCGCAGCGACAACGCGGTCAAAAACTGGTGGAACGGTAGCATGAACCGGAAGAGACGAGGCCTGCCTACGTCAGGCACACCTCATCCTGGACGCACCTGCAACGGCCGAGTCGAGGCTCCGTATGCGCGCGCTTCGATCAGTCTGAGCAGCCCAATCAGTCGCTCTCGGTATTCATCTATCTCTCACGATCGTCCTTTGACTTCCTGGTCGAAATCGCCCTCTCGGAGGGACTCTTGCTCAACCACATCCATCGACTGCCCCCGGCAGTTGACCCCGATTTACACACTCCCGGCCCTCAACCGTCCCGTCGAAACCCCCTTGACCTCGCCTGCTTTCTCCGAAGCCTCCAACACCCTCTCAATTGAACCTCCTTCCATGGTCTCCGACCACAACTCAGTTTCATCCGCGTCTCCCCGAACCGTCTCTTCCCCGCAGCTCCTACCCTTCCCGCTTGATCCCCGCCAGCAGTACGGCGATTTGCGCAGGCCAAGTGCACCACTCCAACCCTCGGACGATGTCTACTTCTCCGCTGGCCACCCAACAGCCATGGAGCCTTTCTCCGATCTATCGCTCAAACAGCGATGGGCTTCCGATCGTCGGTCGTGGAACCAACCCTCTGCTCTCCTACCGCAGACCTGGCCCATGTCCCCGGAGGGGCCTCGCCTGAATAAAGCCGAAGCTCCCCGTGATTCTCGCATGGGTCTCGACAACCTGCTCAATTAATGACCGCACGACTGCCTGCTTTACGTTCTACTGTGTTGATATTTGCTTTCCAAGGTGATTTTCTGGAAGCGTCTAATGTATATGTGTGACCACCGACCGATGTCTCTCTTTTGACACTATTCTTTCCTTTGTACCTATATCCTGTATATCTTTGTTGATTGTTTTGCCCCTGATTCCCCACGTCGGGTCACGTGGGTCATGGCTGGTATTCTTTTTTCTTTTTGGGTGATCGAATCGTTTTGGCGGGTTCAGTTTTCCCCTTTGAGCTGATTCTTTTTTTGTTTCTTTCATAAAAAGCATTTGATTGGAAACGGCGTTCTCTGATTCTGATTTCACGGTCACTGTCGGGTGATCCGGTGAATGTTTTGGGCTCATAGAAGGTCTTGCAGTGGAGATTACTTCCGGATTTTGAACGTTGACTTTGCATGTATTGGTTATTACGGAAGATTTTCGTGCTCGGACTTAATATTAATACCCCAATGTCTTTTTTTATCCCTACATCGCTCTCCATTGTTAAACTGATTGTATTTCAAACAACTACCGTCTCCGGGTTTCCATCTGTATCTGGGCTCTCGTACCGACAATGATGGCTAGGAAGTGGCAAAACAATGTGCCCATCTCCATTGTTGCGACGTGAAAGGAGGGCCCACAGGATACGACACAGCTTATCCTCCGTTGTTGGTGGCTGGCTGTCACCAGCTCTTGTCTCCCAGTGAAATGCCACAGACTCACGAGCGATACGCAAGGGGTGGTTAGAATTTACGAAGCGGACGACTAGACCTCCACCGTCGCCCCCATCTCATCCCCCTCAAAATAATTCATAATAGGGGGTTTTTTTTTTTTCTTAACAAAAAGAATAAATTAAAAAGAAAAATCAAAACCAAGAGGCGTGGACCAAGTCCAGCGTTCGCATGCATGGAAATCTATCTTGGGAAGTTGGAATCGATGGGTCTATTTGCAATCCAGCTGATGAGTGCCATCCATACGACCAGACAGCCACCAATCCTTCCTCTTCCTCTCCGAGCCTTTCATGAAACCCGATGAGTGGATGTATGGTTCATGCATTCCTGCCAGTAGTAGCGACGGCTTGGATTCCTGGAGCTCCGCTTCATCGTCGACTCAGGAGAAGGGGAGGGGAGGGGGGCCAGAATGCCGCATCAAACCTTGACGCGCAGTGGATGAATTCCTTCCCAGTTATCCATCTTCGAGGTAAGGTTGATACCTAAACTTTATCCTCCACCAACACGCAGCCAGTTTCCCATCCCCTCCTTCCGCCTGTCTTGTCTGGACCGTTCGTTCATGCTGCTTCGCCCTTTGCTTCTCGGCCCCCCTTGATCATCAACGGTTTGGACCCGGAAGATCAGCTCAGCTCATCGTTACTTCCTCTCTCTCTCCTGACTATCTAACTTGCCTAGGTGCGCGTTTTCGATCTACGAGCTGGGCCATATGCATTTCGCCCCTCGAAATCCTGGGGAAATTCGTTGGACCCCGTCGTACTTGGTACTTTTGTCGCTTTGGGTGTACATACTCCGGATTCGCTACTCGGTACAGGAATCGGGGTCTGCGGGGATCAACCAGTTCAAGAAAACAAGGCGAACAGAAGGAGGTCGCCGCCACAGGAACCGGCGTCCGACACCTGCGTGGCCACGACTTTGGCCTCCAGCCTCGACTGACCCGGCGTCTTCTGCGATTCGTATTCCCCGGCTTACTATTAGCAGCTAACTACCACTTCTTCCCCTACCTGACTCGCCACAACGCTACGGATGCAGCAGCCACCGACAGATGTGCATATGGTCCCTGCAACCATGCTGATCCAGGAATCGGCGTCGTCGAACTGCAATTGGAACAACCGAGTCCTGCGGTATCAGGAAATGGCTATTATTGCCATCTCCTCCGTACGTGCTACATCTAAGAGGCATCTGTCCGTTTCAGCCAGCCTTCGTTCGTGGCAACTCAGGCTTACGTATCGTAGGTCCTGCTAACTCACTAACTGGTTAGTTACATACCGGGTCAGCTTGGGCAGTTGGACCCCAGAGGCGACTCGAGGCGTGAGTCGACGAGGACGAAAGTACCTCTCATAATCAGATTGACATTGATTACCTACTGATTTTCATCGCCGAAGCGGAATGACTTGGCTGTTGCCGCTTCGCACTGCTTGCATCGATACACAATAATACCTGCCCGTTACTTCCTACTGGCCACCTAATTAGGGAGGTGGATGATTAACTAATCAATAAGTTAGTTATTGACATGAACTGTGAAACAGATAATTGAATTCTTCTGACTCAGTGACTACAGTGTAACTACAGGGGTGCTCCAAACAAACCGGATTCAAAAATTCTTCAGGAGCCGTCTTGCATAGATGAGATGATCATAGAAATTACTCCACGATCTTTTTTTACCTGTGATTTGGAATACTGATCGCTAGCGTTGAAACTAGATGCGATTAGTTCCTCGCTACTTGCGCAACGTGACGTATTGCCGTTCCGATCGATCGTGATGACTTTTTTTGATTTTCGACTTTTGCTGCCGGCGTGGGTAAATCGGCTCGGCCTGTGGAGACTGACCGTTACCAATGTGCGCCGTCCGTTGAAGGGCGATTCGAATCACGAATTTCACTGAAAACGATCATGAAAATGAACAATCTGGTCCAGTGGTTTTACTCAGTAATGCTCTCGACCCGACCGATGCAATAATTTACCCCCTGAATCACCTCTCCGCCCAACGGGGAAAGCAGAAGCGACTTCCAAGGGGCAAATGAATTAACGTATATTGCAAGTTAATTAATTCAGTGCCCGGCCTCAAACCAAGCAATATCTGACAGTTGAAACGAAGCTAGCTTGTCTGATCGGCCTCAGCACTTAATATCTAAAAGGGGGGATTTTTATTTATAACCGAGCAAGCGCCCCCAACAATTGTCGCAAGATCTGCTTTAATATATTGCAAGTGGAGCTTGGGTGTTGGGGAAGGCAAGCGAAAGGGTGAAGCTTACTATGCGTCGGAGGAAATGTAACGTCAGGATTTCAGGGTGAGCGGGCGCAGAAGATGGAATCATGTTAATAGTATGTATGTACTTACTTCGTAAGGGTAAATGAATTCGTAACGTTGCCTCGTCTACGGAGTTTTCCGTACAGTATGCTGCCATCATACTACCCCATGGAGTATAGACTTCATGTTTAAAGATATGCATACTGTGTAGGCGAGGATCAATGACCCACGACGACCGTTCCAGATAGATTACTTCTGTATCTCATTTTTCGGGTCTGATCATAATAGAACCAAATATAGCGCAGATGCGTACACAGATATCCCCGTATATCTCCGTAACTCTGCTCAAGTCTCAACACAAAACGCATCGAGGAAAAGACAGTTACACTAGTCTTACGACGTTATACCTAACTGTTGACAACCACGAAGCGAGAGAGAGTGAGCAAGCAAGAGGGACGTTTGCGGTTTAATCATGGTTCTAAAAAAAAAAGAAAAAGGAAAAAAAAAACCTGAAACTTGGCTTGACTCGGGCCCCTCGACCCTAACCCTGGAACCCGTATTCCTGTTCGGGAAAACGCTCACCCCCCTCCGGCCCTCCAGAGCCTTAAGACTAAAACGCGGCGTTCCAACAATTCATCTAGAAGCGATGATCTGCTCATGGCCCCTGCTCGTTAGATAAAAACGCTCCAACCGACCCATGACCAAGGGTCGACTAGCGTGTGATGTGAAACGGCCGCGCCCTTAAGAAGCCCACGGTCTATCCAGTGGAAACCTGGGGCTTTCTAGTTTAGTTTGGTTTAGTTTATTTTTTTGTTGGCCTGTTTGGTTTGTTGATTCTTCTCTGCCCCCTTCTCTTCTATTTCGTTCGTGTTCTATTAATCACCCATCCATCCATCGAGGATGTCGATGACTCGATGGAGCGGAGCTGTGGGGCTTGGAGAAGATGATTGCTTTCATTTGTTTTTGTTTTTATTTTTTATTTTTCTTGTTCGGCTCGCTACACGAATCCAAGCGTTGTTGGTTTTTTGGTATAGATACAACAACGGGAAAGTAATAAACGATGCTCCTTGGTGGATGTGTTGGGGGGAAACGTATTCCACACGAATGACACTCGAGCAATTGGCCCCCGACCCGGACAGCCGGACTCAATGAACTTGAGGTAAGTCTGTGCGGTGACTACACAGTAACTATTCGTACTAGTAACTCACTTCTAGTACGGAGTACGTAGTAGTAGATGGCCACAAGCTCGGTAGGTGGATCTCGAACACGATCGAGTTTTTCCCAATGCTGAGAATCTCAGGGTGAGCAATGAGCATGGATTCCTTATGCCTTTATGCCGATTGTTTATGAAAATAACGTCTTTATTAGTTATTTTTTCTCCCCTTCGGAATCCCCGTTTTAAAGTTGTCCTGCACAAAAAAGTTAGTCTTTCGTCCCATGAGATCGGGTATATCCGATCCAACATAACCGAGACGGGATTCTATGCAAGACCAAGGAAGCACGGATCTGTTCAACGGATGTCCCAAGTTCGCACCCCTCGAGACCGTCAGACGCTAAGCCAAGTCGTACTCCGTAATAGTGGATACGACACCCGACCAGTCAGAATCATCGAAAGGGGGAATAGAGCCCAGATCAAGGTGAAGGAAATAAAAAAAATAAAAATAAAAATTGAATTGAGCAAATTGTGGTTCTGGCTCGACTCTAACCTCCCCGGTGCTAGAAAGACCTTCCCTATCAATTAATAAATTTACGAGGTTAATTTAATTGAGGTGGATATTACTTCTTCTTCTTCTCCAAAATCTCCATATCATAAACAACAATACTCCATATTTAGTGGTCGGTCAAACTCCTGCGCTACGCCATCGTGCTCCATGATCCATCTTCACCGTCTCGCGAAGTCCAGCATTTCCGGCCCCTCTGATTGGCGAGCGGCCGTCCAAACTATTGAAATTTTAATCTGCGGAAGAACGGAAAATGACAGGGGTCAAGAGGGCAATGCATGCGCCTTCGTT